GGTGAGATCAGGAGGTGCCTCCCAGTCCATGGCAAAGAGGGAGAGTTTACCCAGTACAGCGAGTCCCTTCTAGACTCTTCCATTTGGGAGAATTATGTGATCAGATCTGTTTGACAGCAGTATAGAGGCTGGGCTAGGTGGTGATGGGGAGAGGAAGGTTCTGGAAGAAGAGTAAGCTTTGGAGACATTGCAGGACCACTGCTTCTGCGCAGGCAGCAGTTAGGGACATCCCTAAGAGATTGGGTCCCAAAGTCCGACTGAGTTCAGTATTGCCTGTGCCCCTCTGGCTGTGTGGCCTTGGTCACGTGCCTTCATGTTTTCCTCTCCAAAATGTGGGGGTCAAGATGTACCTATCTTCTAGGGTTGTTGTGAGGCTAAAATGGATCAATACATGGTATAATATGAGTGTCAAAAAAATGTTAACTTTTATCATCATTATCTGCAATAATCCAGTAAGAATTAACAAAGCCTCCAACTAGGAGGTTAGGATGAGATGCTTTATGTATCGCTGTGGTTTTAGAAGCTAGTCAGCCAATGGGAAGAGGAACGGAGAACACAACCCATGGGTAATGAAGTCCATTTGAATTCAGAGCAAACTAATGCTTAATGCCAAAGGGTTTCGATGTGAATGGTCCGGAATAGATTTTATTACATGACTCAGCTGTTCTTCAGGGAGTTTGACAGGTACTTGGGAAGATGTGGTGACTCTTTCAGGCCACTAGAGTGTCATTGAGTAAATCACTGATCTGGGCGACATAATGAGAAAAGCTGATTCACTCAAGAGCCACTTTGGAGCTCTTGCGTTAGGGGTGATGGCTCAGGAATGAAAGCAGGGCCACAAATAGCTGAGTGGAACCCCAAGAGCATCAAAGTGTTGAAACAGCCCCCAGAACGCCAGCCTGAGGGACGGCGAGTCAGGAACTTGCGTGATAGGATATGGACAGTTCTCCATCACCCGGTGAATACTGCAAATTCCTAAGGATCAATACCTAAGTGGCTTTTTTAAGTGACTCAGGCCAGACAACTCTGAGAATGCAGCATTAGCAAAGCCACCGTGGGTGCTGCAGGCCAGTGTTTCCCCCGTCTGGGACAGGTGTCCCCCAGAGGACATTGACAATGTATGGAGACTTAGAGAAAGTACTACTGGCATCTGGTGAGTAGAGGCCAGGAGTGCTGCTACACACACTACAATGCACAGGACAGTCCCCAAAGCAAAGAATTGTCCGGCCCAAAATGTCAGTCATGCCCATGGTGGAAAAAAAGCCTGGTCTACAAGGCTTTAACCAAAATGTGTTATTTACATAATTAGTGGTGCATAAAACAAGCTTAGAACAACCTTTTATAAGTTTTAATATCTTATTAAATGTTATATGTATGTGGATTATAAATATAAAAATATGTATTTATCTTAACATGTCTATAAACATATAATTACCATATATAACCTGTGGTTACAAAAATATTTGATTAAGATGAGGCTATACTAGTATTGAAGTTTTTTAAAAAACGTACTGCATTGACTTAAAAATACAAAGTAAACAATAGTGAATGGCCTTCAAAGATGACACACATGGAAAATTAAGGAGGTGTGAGTATGATTGAGGCTTAGATCATGACTCAGAAAACTTTTTCTGTAAAGAACTGGATAGTAGTAAGTATTTTAAGCTCTGTTGCAACTATTCTGCTCTACCATTTTGGTCCCAAAGCAGCCACAACGACGGGTAAACAGATGGGTCCTCCCACCACCCTGACAATTCTGAACCCTGTGTCTAAGATGAATCATTTAAACCCGTGGTCCCCAACCCCTAGGCCACGTGGACTGGTACCTGTCCATGGCCTGTTAGGGACTGGGCTGCAGAGCTCCGCCATCCCTACCCACCCCACCCCACTCTTGTCCATGGAAAAATTGTCTTCTATGAACTTAGGAACAAGGAACGGGGATGGAGGGGGGACACAGCAGGAGGTGAGTGACAGGTGAGCAAGGAAGCTTCATCTGTATTTACAGCCGCTCCCCATCACTTGCTTCACTGCCTGAGCTCCCCACCCCCATCCATGGAAAAAAAATAGTCTTCCATGAAACTGGTCCCCAGTGCCAAAAAGGTTGGGGACTGCCGCTTTAAATTCAATGCTCAGGAGTGGCCTGATCATGCCAAGGCAGAGCACTATTACTTACCTTGGCTAGTAAGATCTAAAACAGCTGTAAAGTAATGATGCCCATTTTTTTTTTGCAATTTTTTTTATTACCTCATATTATGAGGGTACAAATATTGTTAGGGTTACATATCTTGCCCCTGCCCCCCCACCCCGCTATGCCAGAGCTTCAAGGGTGCCCAGCCTCCAAGTGGTGTGCACTGCACCCACCATGTAAGCGCAGACCCTTCCCTCCTCCCCCCTTCCACCTGTCCACCTCCCAATAACAGATTTTTTTTTAGACATTTTGGTTACAGTGTGTATCTTTGCCTCTCCCTAAAAAGAGATAGAGGTAATACCTTCCCCCCGCATAATGCTCATCACATCCTTAAGATGTGGGTCTCCCCCCCCAAATCCCTGTTGAACGCTACCATTTTTTTAGCACCATAGTTTTAGTCTGTCAGTACCAATTTGATATGATGCCCATGTTTTACATGTTGTTGTGAAGGCATGATCTTTCCCCCAAATGCACCTAAGTAAGTGGCAGTCATTCCAGCTCATATTTCTTTCCTTCAGCTAAAACAGCAAACAGTGACTGCGTCCACTTTGCATCAGGCATGGTGCCAGCACCAGATACAAACGCAAGACACGGCCCCTGCCTTCCCAGGAGCCCACAGCGTGGGTGGGAAGGGGAAAGTAGTACACAGACAGGTGGTCATGATCTTCACAGTTGGGTGCTCTCCCGTGAACAGAGGCAAGGCGTCGCCTGAGACAAGTCTTAGGAGATAAGTAGGAATGAATGGGTGCAGATGGGATGGGTGCACGTTCCAGGCCCCAGAGTGTAGAACGCACAGTTGCAGGTGACCAGGGGTAGCTCTTTGGAGACAGAGGTGAGGAAGGGGAAATGAGGCTGTGTTAATTACGTGGGCCATATTGTGTAGAGCATGGTAAGCACATCATGCTATGTTTAACTACTGCCTGCAGGGCTGATGGTTTTCACCTTTCTTTTGCAATGAAGGCCTTTACTTTGAGCAAATCTTCTACATGACAATCTAGTATATAGAAGTTTGGGACCTTCTACCTTAAGGAACTCATGCTTTCTGGTCTCCAGCTTTTTTTTTTTTTCCTCAAAAGAGTCTTCCCACCAGATAAGAATATCTCTGGGCTGCTTTGCATCCCAGCTCCCAGCTGCAGCATCCCAAGCTCTGTGCCTTCTTGGGAACCACTGCTATTAAACTGTAAAGCGGGGAGAGAGAAAGGTAGGATGGGGAAAAAACACGCGCCATGGGATACGTTTTTGCCTCTTCCGTTTCCATTTCCTTCAGTGCCCAGTGTGGAAATCCAGGCACTGTTGGAATGCGGTCACTCCTGGTGCCACCTCCAGGATGGCAGGAAGTTCCCCATCAGCCCATCTTCCAGTCACATGTGACAACTGTCATGTTGGGACCATCTGTCCTGTATTTCACTGTCCTCCTCCCATTGTCATTTGCATTAAATTAGGTGGGAAATGGGCCCACTTAAACTGCCTAAGATGCTGCATTTTTGTAAATATGCGATTTAATTCTTATTCAGTAGTTGAAGGTCTTTTTTTTAAGTTGATTAAGTTCATTGCCTCAAATGTTATAGCTCATAATGTCTTAACTAGATTTTCCATGTGTCACTGAAGAGTTATGTGGAAAATACAAGGAGAAAAACAGCTCTCGGGAAACAATGGAAGGAAGACAGTTAATTGAATTTAAATTAGACATAGCAATAATTTAAAGCATAATTGAAAGCTTCAAAGGAGACTCATGCATTCATATGTCATAAGTAAGATTTGTCTTGGACAAAATATTGAAATGTAAATCTTACTGATCTATAATATAACCTCATGCTCCATTTCCTTATGAGTGTCAGACACTTTTGGATGTAAAATACATTGAGTTCCCTGTGTTTAGAAATTCCTTAAATGAAAGATATAAATTCCACTTCCGGTTAATCTGAAAAAGAATTACAAAATTTAACTATGTGTTTCTGGCTCCATATTCTCACTCTTACTGGACTTTATGCAGAGCCTGCCATAAAAAGGATTCTAAATTGCTATATGAGCCTTAGATGCTATTAAGAAAATAACTATTTTCTTTGTATAGCTTTTTAAAAATTAAATATATTTGATGAGAGTGGGCTCAACTTAAGAGATAGAACCAAAAATATTACCATTATTGCTTCTTAGCAAACTGACCTTACGGAAAAACCAGACTGGCGGTACCTGTGGCTCCCTGCTGAGGATTTGACACCGTCATCCATGGGGGAGGACTTTCTCTAGGTCGTCACTGACAGTGTCATGCATGGGTCCCCAGCCTTCTGCTCACCCGCTTTGCCTTTCTCTGCGTCCCCACCTGTGACGTTTCAAGCAGTCTCTCCCACACTCAATTCCTATCAGTCACCCTGCACAGCTCGTGAAAACTGGAACCTCAGTTATTATCTTTCCTTCCTGGATCTCTAGCTCCACTATCAAATTAATCCTTTACCTCTGCTTTTTAAAAAAAATTTTTAATATTGTAGTAAATACACATAACGTAAAATTTACCATCTTAACCATTTTAAAATGTAAGTTCAGTGCTGTTAAGTACATTCACGTTGTTGTGCAACCATCACCATCACCCATTCACAGAGAATTAAAATTCTTATTGCCTGTCCCATGCCGCTGCCACCACCAGGAAGCTCTGCCATCCTAAAATGATTAACTGTGATGTGAGAAATGGGGTTTTCATTGCCCGGTGTACCCTTTGTCTCTTAGGGCTAAACAACTGAGTTTTAAAACGGTGCCAGTGCATTTCTATGACGTGTTAGCCAAACTGAACTTCCTCTCCCCCCTTCTCTTTAAACAGCTCTGAGCAGCGAGTCCCCTGCTCCACTTCTTACCACAGCTCTGGTTTGCACTCTGGGGACGGTGTCACGAAAGCAGGACCTATGGGCCTTCCGGAAATAAGACAAGTGCCAACTGTTGTGATTGAATGTGATGACAATAAAGAAAATGTGCCTCATGAATCAGACTACGAAGACTCTTCTTGCCTGTACACAAGAGAAGAGGAGGAAGAGGAAGAGGACGACGATGATGACAGCTCATTGTATACCAGTACGTTCATCCAGTTTCTTCGTTGTGGGCAGAGGCCAGCATGGTATTGTGGAAAGAGAGCCTGTCCACTGGGTTCCAACCCTGAGAGTGGCATTGACTGGCCCTGGGTCATACTGACCCTGAGAGTGGTGTTACCTGGCCCTGGGTCATACTGACCCTGAGAGTGGTGTTGACTGGCCCTGGGTCATACCGACCCTGAGAGTGGTGTTGACTGGCCCTGGGTCATACTGACCCCAAGTGTAGTGTTGACTGGACCTGGGTCATACTGACCCTGAGAGTGGTGTTGACTGGCCCTGGGTCATACTGACCCCAAGTGTGGTGTTGACTGGACCTGGGTCATACTGATCCTGAGTGTGGTGTTGACTGGCCCTGGGTCATACTGACCCTGAGAGTGGTGTTGACTGGCCCTGGGTCATACTGACCCTGAGACTGGTGTTGACTGGCCCTGGGTCATACTGACCCTGAGACTGGTGTTAACCGGCCCTGGGTCAAAGGGCAGCTCAGTTAACCTCCGAGGGACTCATTTCATACACCAGCAATATGACAGCATAAATGTCCTTAAAATGCCCTCATTACTCTAAAATTGCAACACCATGCTCCCACCTCCTACCTCTTCATATGGCTGTGTTCCTCCTTTGGAGTACTACCCCTCCCTCCAAATACATAAGGGAGAGAGGATAAAAAAGCTGAAAAGGGCCGGGCGCTGTGGCTCACGCCTGTAATCCTAGCTCTTGGGAGGCCGAGGCGGGCGGATTGCTCAAGGTCAGGAGTTCAAAACCAGCCTGAGCAAGAGCGAGACCCCGTCTCTACTATAAATAGAAAGAAATTAATTGGCCAACTGATATATATATAAAAAAATTAGCCGGGCATGGTGGTGCATGCCTGTAGTCCCAGCTACCCGGGAGGCTGAGGCAGAAGGATCACTCGAGCCCAGGAGTTTGAGGTTGCTGTGAGCTAAGCTGACGCCACGGCACTCACTCTAGCCTAGGCAAGAAAGCGAGACTCTGTCTCAAAAAAAAAAAAAAAAAAAAAAGAGCTGAAAAGTCTCTTCCCATCCAGAAAACACTCAGAAATATGAACCACTGTGTATGCAACAAATTCATTTTTAAGCATATCTTCTCAGTGTTAGAAGGTCTGCATTTCAGTTTCTCATTTAAGACCTTTAAATGGGCTAAGAGATAAGAGAAGAAATGAAGAAACGAAGTTCTAAATCTATCACTCTGGCCTGATAATTAGTCAACTTTTTAATAAACGAATGTATAATTTAATACAGCCATGTATTAAATATCTACTGTATGCCTGACAGCGGGCTAAGATTTTAATCTTTTATATCCCACAATACCCCTGCGGCGTAGACACTATTTCCCCCATTTCACAGATAAGGGCGGAAATGGAGACACAAGGAGGTGGCCCAGAGCCTCACCTCTGCTCACCGGGGCTCTGGGGTTTAGTGTTGGCGGTGGCGTCAGGTTCCAAAGCACATGTTCTGAAGCCAGTGGAGGCAGAAGGAACAGCGCTACTGAGTAAAGCCCAGAGCAATCCTCAGACTTGCTGCTTGTCGCCATCATCCTCTTGCTCTGTGCTTACCGGGCTTCAGCCGGCGGGTTACAGTTGAGACCCGGCGAGAGCCCTGGTGAGCTGTGAGCTGATCAAAGTGACGTCAAGGAGGGAGCCCGGCAAGGCAGGCAAAGCCCCAAGTGGTCCATGAATGGAGGGGCAGCTGCTCAACTCTGTTTGCCGTTTCATACCCAGAGGATTGAATGTTTCATGCCAGGATTTCTTTGACCTCGGCACTCTTGGCGTTTTGGACCAGCTCATGCTTTGTCGGAGGGGCTGTGCTGGTCACTGTAGGATGCTTAGCATCCCCCTCTGCCCACGAGCTGCCAGGAGCAGCCTCCCCCTGCCTCCTCGGTTGTGATCACCAAAAATGCCTTTAGACCTTGCCAAGTGTCCCCTGGGGAGCAAAACTGTCCCTGGTTGAGAACCAAGGATTTATACCAGAAATAAGGAAGCCCTGCCCTGGCTGCTTAGAAACCCTTATGCTAAAAAGAAAAACCACTGCCTGTTTTAAAGCCCTCACCTCCACTCCCACCCCAAACAGGCCCCACTGTGTCTGTCCACGTTCATCCTCCTTCCTGTCCCCTAGCGCCAGCATAGGTGGTCTCTCCTGTGTCCCGAGATCTCCTGGCTTACCTGTCACCACGGAGCTTTGGCAGGTGCAGATCCCCCCAACCCTGCTGCCTGATGGAATCTCATCTCTCCTTCAGGGGTCAGCCCCTCTGCCTTGGGAAGCCTGTGTCCCCTCTCTGTCCCCCACCGCTGTTCCTGCCTACGTGCTGGGCGTTCCGGAGAGCAGAGCTGCTGTCACAGACTCCCCGGGTGCTCCCCACAGGCCCCGCACACTGCCAGGAGGACAGGCCATGCCAGTGACAGGAACTCTGCAAACTGAGGCCCTAGCCACTCTCAGGTGTTCAGCCCTGTGGACTTCCTTCCCGCCCTGTGCCTTAGGTCCAGGGTTGGCCCTGGTGGAGGGCAGGCAGATATGTGTCAGCCTTAATTAAGTCATTTCTCCCTCCTGCAGGCTCCCTGGCCATGAAGGTCTGCAGGAAGGACTCCTTAGCCATCAAACTCAGCAACAGGCCCTCCAAGCGAGAGCTAGAGGAAAAGAACATCCTTCCCAGGCAGACGGATGAAGAGCGGCTGGAGCTGAGGCAACAGATCGGCACCAAGCTCACCAGGTAGGATGTCTGTCCTCCAGATAGCGGGCCACCGGCTCTCCAGACTGTAGTAGAATTCAGTCTCCACCCGCAATTCAGGCCTTGGTGTCCCAAATAACTTATTACAGAAAGAGCCAATGAAAAACACCCCATTTTGTCTACAGGCTTGCTTCTGCAGTTCCCTCTCCTTTACTCATCTAAATCTTAGAAATTACATTCCATTCAAGTTCCAGGGAGAAATTGACAAGTTTCCATGGAGAATAAGCATCTATGGAAAAATCCCTATCATCCAATAGAATTGAAAACCGATGTATAGATGAGTTGTGGTTTGGTTAAGCACAGAGCGGTCAGATAAACACACTCTCTGCTATCCTGTTAAGTGGTTGGTAGTGATGCCTCATTACTGCACTGGGATTCTTCCTGAGTGATTGCCCTTTATGTATGGATGCTACAGACATAGGCATACCTTTATGCAATATTAATATGTTAAACACATGTATGTGTTTGTAATCTAGGGCCTGTTGGTGTGGTATTAGGTAACATTTGTCCAGCAGTTATTATTGGCAAGCACTGTTGAAACATTTTACATGTATTTAATCATTTAATCTTGGAGCCCTTCTATGAGACATTTGTATGCCCATTTTACAAGTGAGAACACCAGGCATAGGGAACTTTAGTTACCTTGCATAATGTCTCACAACACTGCTCCGGAGTGGGCCCTAATTTTGTACCAGGCACTGCGTTGAGTGTTTGGATGTAATGCATAGAAGTCTACCGGGGCCTCATCCTGCCTGTCCCTCTCACTGGCTGTATGGCCGTCAGTAAGGCACTCATTCTCCTTGCCTGTGTTTCTGCATTTGTCAGCCAATGAGTTGTGAAAATTAAACAAGTTAATGTAAGTATTTAAAACCATGTCTGGCGCATAGCAAGCACTCAATTATCTGTTGTCATTATCATCCTCACATTGTACGAGTGAGGAAAGTGGTACCTAAAGAGGTTAAGTAGGCATGGGTGTCATCTCCTGGTGTGCTGGTGTCTTCCCTCCCCCCTGACTAATTTTGTTTCTTATGGGCAGCTTCTTTCTCATATGTAACTTGGTTTTCAACTGGAGGATGATGTGGTGATGGTACAAGGCTGTGTAAAATGGTCAACACTGATGGATGATTTGACCCAGTGTTAGGCAGTCTTCAGAGTTAGAGAATGAAGGTGTCTAACCACCTGCTATCCACACACACACTTTCTCTCACTGAATGGAGTAACATGGCCATGGTGTGGTTGTCCAGATCTCTCTTAATATCTCAGTGATAGCTACCACTTTCTAGAGTTCCCATCCCCTTGTCGGAAAGGCTGATTGTTCACCATTCTTCCTTCTATTGAACCGAAATTTCTGTCCATGCAACTCCCACCCATTGTTCTTATTCTATTGTTTTCAGCCTCATCCCTCTTAACAAGGCATGCTTTAGAGGACTTGGAGACAATGATCCTGGTCTTCCCAGTTCTCTTCTCCCAGGCTACATATAACCAGATCTTATCTGGGGGGTGGGGGGGTGGGGAGTGGTGGATATGGTTCTGGGCTGCTTCCTGACCCAGCTTGTTCACGTTACGCTTTGGGGGATTAGAAAAAAGAGAAGGAGCATGTCCTTGAACCAGCCCTCCTTCCCAGAGTTCAGCTCCACCCTGATCCCCTGAGCATGGGCATCCTTTATCATACTTCCTTCGCTCACTTCCCATTTTCCCAGCTCCACTACAGCACAGGCAGAACCCCGGATGTGTGAGGGGCACATGGAGACATGTCTGCAGATGTGAGATGCCAATGCATCCGGCTGCCAGGGGTAGCCTTTCCTGTAAAGAGCTGGAGAGAGAGAGGAGACACATAGGAAGCTGATGGGAGAGACTGGCCACCTGTTTGTCCACCATGAGACCCTTCTGCCTGGTGTTAAGTGGCATAGTGAAAAAGGGCACCATTGTCCCAGAGCATTTCTCCTGAAAAGAGAAACAGCCCCCAGCCTCTCATGCCTGAACACACATCCACATCCTACCACCATGACCGGCTGGCAAAGGCCACGTCAAAACCAGAGGTGGGAGGAGACAAAGGCCATCCATGCACCAGAAGTTCTCTGCATCCGAAATCTTGTCCTGGCAAATCAACCCTTTCTCAACCCCTCTTTTTGCCAAGACATTTAAATATTGGCTCAAATTTGTAAAATCTGCTGAACGTTTACCATGCTGTGTGTCCACTCCCAGCCCCCATTCATTATGATCAATGGCAGGAGAAGACACACCGGCTCAGGAGAGAAAGACACAAGCAGAGAAGGCAGTATTGATCATATTCAAGGCACTGAGCTGGCCTGCGTCCTCCTCTGAATCCACTTTGTTCACTCTTTCAACTGGAGAATTTCTTTCTTTGTGGTAAGATCCTTGGCAGCTCTGGCCCAATTACAGGGGCTCTACTAAAGGAGAGGATGTCACAAGTGTTTAGCCAAAGAGTTTTAGGGACTGTTGCTTTTAGTCCCTACATGAGAGAACAGCTGCATGCTCTCAGCCACTCATTTATCATGAATCCTGAGCAGAGTGAAGAGAAAATTTGAGAACCCAAAGGTGTCTATGGTAGGGAGAATGCTATTCTGGAGTCAGGAGTTTGGGTTCTAGCTCTGGTTCTGCCATCTCATAAATACCACTTGCCCTCCCTGGTGCTTAATTTTATAATCTGAGAGGATTATACTAAGTCATCTGATCACTGTATGAAAATATATGCTTCATCGTCCCAAAAAGTAACTAAAAGAGCATAGAAGTGTGTTGTATTGCATTTCTGAAGCTGTGGCATTCTTTGGCTATTTGAGGCAACAGTAATATGCTGGAAATCATAAGCTCTCTGGAAAGCATGCCACCAAGTCTGCAGTCCTCAGGGAGTAAGCAAGAGAGAAAACATAATTTTAGCCTGACAGTTTTAATAGCACAAGAAAACACACACACACAATGTGCAGTACTCCAAGAACAATCCCAAATTGGGGGCGGGGTAAAATGATGTCAATTTTTGCAGAACCTCCCACCATTAAGGCAGTTTCTACAGAAAAATGAAAAAAAAAATTGTTGTTCTAAAAATGTTTTCTCATAGATGCTATTGGGCAGACTTTCCTAAATCTCAGTCGATAAGTCATCTAGATTTTTTTATAGCAACTATTTCAGCCAACCACCATTGGAGAAGTGTGGACTGCCCTAGAGACATGAATATGGTCAACGGGGTGCACATTGTTTCTGCTCCTTATGTATACAGACTCCAGGACAGCGCAGGGCACCAAGAGGTGCACAAGACCATCCACAGGGGTATGGGGGGAAAATGGTAGAGCTTCTATTCAAATTCATTGCATCCTTTTTCATGTGGTTATTTGTGTCTGTCTCACAATGTGCGTAGTGTCTCAGTGCAGCGATACCTACATGTGACTTATAAATAAAGAAATGGTACACGGGGGGCACATACTCAGGTGTTTTCTTAGAGTCCACTGGTCTGAGGGTCACTCCTCAGTGTTACATGAGCACCACCTTTCATCTCCAGTGGCCTCAAGCCCATGGAAATGTAGAGACCCCAGGAAGATCCCTCACCTCCCCCCCAAAGCCCCCGCAGTGCAAGATCGTGCTGCACTCTCTGGGTCTCTTCTCTGGGCCCAACATCCCGAAGTGGCCTAACTGGGATCTTAGCTGTCAGATCCACTTCTGTCTAGTTCCCCACATTTACTAAGCTTTTGATTCCCCCAAGAGTGATATTCAATCCACAGGACTCCGTTTTATTTATTTGCAATCTCATTGAACACTCTCTGCTCCTAAAATCAGCATTAAAAGTCGGATGTGGAGCCATGCCGCCGACAGTCCCGGTCAGGGTGCCCTGGCAAGAGCCAGTGCGTCCTCGCCCTTCTCCACGGTCCAGCTTGGGGCAGGGACTGATTGAGGAAGTGAAACCCCCAGAGGATGGTGCTTCGGACCACTAGGAATGCGGTTTTCAGGGGCTAAAGAGAAATCTGATGCCTAAACAATGAATGCTTTTGTTTTGGAAACATCCTAGAGAAAGTGAGTTGTTCTGGAAGTCACTAGGGCGACTCATTTTTAAAGGAAAGCACTGAGACTCTGAAACATGGCCTGTTCAACAGCCAGTGCACTCAGCCGTCTCCTGGGAAACGGCCAGCTCCTCAGACCCAGCTAAGAGGGGCTCCTCTGTCCCAGGCCCCTCCCACCGAGATCCTCTGTCCCTCCCCCTCCCCCTGTACCTTCTGTAAGGTTTGGATCAGATGGGAGAAAAAGCTTGCAAAGAAAAATAAATAGAAGGTGCCTCACAGTATGTGCACGAGTTTATAATGTAAATTGAGCTCAGGAGTAAATGAGGATTTGGTCAATCTGCCTCCATAACATACTCCTTCCCCTAAAATACTTCTTCTCCCTCAAAATGCCACCCTCCTACCCTCATGGATGAACTGTCAGCGTTTTTTCTGCAGTCATGGTTGACCAGAATTTTGTAAGCACCCACCTGAGCTAGAGCAAGCAGAGCCTCTGCTTCTAATTGGATGCATCTCTCTATGTGGATGTGCTCAGCAGCCTGGCTGCTTGGTTTTGGAAAGGGGGTTTCTCCTTGTGATGTCCTTTTCCAAGGATAGACATAGCCAGTGATTCAGGCTACTCACCTATGATTCTATTCAATGATCAAAGGAAGATACTGACTTAATTTAAGCTATTTGCTGTATTCCTTTGGTGGGGCTGCCATAACAAAGGACCACAAATTGAGTGGCATACACAACCGAAATTTAATGTCTCACAGCTCCAGAGGCTGAAACTTCTGAGCTCAAGGTGTCAGCAGTGTTGGCTCCTTCTCAGGGCTGGGAGGGAGGATCTGTTCCATGCCCCTCTCCCAACTTCTTCTGGTGGTTTGCTGGAAATCTTTAGCACTCCTTGGCTTATAGATACATTACCTCGGTCTCTGCCTTCATCTCCACATGTGCTCTCCCTTTGTGTATATATCTGGGTTCAAATTTCCC